TCCGGCACGCAGGAGGTCGTGGGTTCGATCCCGGACCCTGCCTGCTGCTGTAGATTTGGAGTCTGCGTCTCTCTCTCTCATCATCATCATGGTGGCTAGGAGATGTTAACTACCTCGCCCAACACGCAGGAGGTCGTGGGTTCGATCCCGGACCCTGCCTGCTGCTGTATATTTGGATTCTGCGTCTCTATCTCCGTGGTGAGATGTTAACTACCTCGCCTGGTCTACAGGAGGTCGTGGGTTCGATCCCAGACCCTGACCATGCCTGCTGCTGTATATTGGGAGTCTGCATCTCTCTCTCATCATCACGGTGGCTAGGAGATGTTAACTACCTCGCCCGACACGCAGGAGGTCGGGTTCGATCCCTGACCCTGCCTGCTACTGTATATTTGGAGTCTGCGTCTCTCTCTCATCATCATCACGGTGGCTGGGAGATGTTAACTACCTCGCCCGGTACGCAGGAGGTCGTGGGTTCGATCCCGGACCATGACCCTGCCTGCTGCTGTATACTTGGAGTCTGCATCTCTCTCTCTCATCATCATCACCACGGTGGCTGGGAGATGTTAACTACCTCGCCCGGTCTACAGGAGGTCGTGGGTTCGATCCCGGACCCTGACCCTGCCTGCTGTATATTTGGAGTCTGCATCTCTATCTCCGTGGTGAAATGTTAACCACCTCGCCTGGTCTACAGGAGGTCGTGGGTTCGATCCCGGACCCTGACCATGCCTGCTGCTGCATACAGATAGTCCCCGACTTACGATATTTCGATCTCACGATGAACGACAGCGACACGGCAAAATTGTTAAATATATTTTTTATTTCGCGAGGCAGGCAAACGCAGGCAGACGAGGTACCACACTGTAACCTGATCCTCCTCCTCCTCTTCCGACAACTTAGTTAATGTGGCCATCAACAACCCTAACATCGTTCCAAGTGTGCAGACCTAGACGGAATCTTGGCGATTATACAGCAGAATGTACGGTACGTTACGATACGTCCAATGGATGTGAAGAGTTTTTTTTTGTTACGGCAGATAGGAGGATTGTTTTTTTCCTGAATTGCAGTTCATGTAGGTAGGCTAAGAATAAAATAATAAATTGATAAAATAAAATAACACAATAATATTCTCACGACGTTTCGGCCACAACACAAGCGGCCTTCATCAGGTGAAGGGACGAGACTGTCTGGTAGGACAGCGCTGGAGTGAAAGAGCCACGTTCAGATCACGACCTTTAAGCTGTGTGAGAGGAACAAAGCGCCTTAGAGTCGCGGCATCTCTTCACAAAGGTGAGAGACTCGATTAGTTGAGCCTTCTTATCCCGAAGTCTGTTGAATGAGCTTAAAATAAATTTAAATTTATTTAACCGCCTCTACGGGGAGGGATTCCACACATCCTTAAGATCATTCAACAGACAGACTTCGGGATAAGAAGGCTCAACTAATCGAGTCTCTCACCTTTCTGAAGAGATGCCGCGACTCTAAGGCGCTTTGTTCCTCTCACACAGCTTAAAGGTCGTGATCTGAACGTGGCTCTTTCACTCCAGCGCTGTCCTAACCAGACAAGTCTCGCTCCCTTCACCTGATGAAGGCCGCTTGTGTTGTGGCCGAAACGTCGTTGTTAGAATATTATTGTGTTATTTTATTTTATCAATTTATTATTTTATTCTCATTCTACGTGGTGGTGGTGGTGGTGGTGACTTTACCGAAAGAACCAAAGAAGATGAATCATTGCAGTCACGAAAGCTTTGAATCGAAATGTAGGCTAAGAATTTAACTTGTTTTTTATTTTTATGAGACCTCCTTTGCCAGAAACAAGATATAGGAATAGGTTTTACCCTTTTAACTGGCACAAAAACTGACACCTTATTCAAGGCATCGTGTTTGCAATAACCACAACACAAGCAGTCAAAATGCAAACAAAAAGACAGCTGTGATAATAATATTGGCACTGTCCTTGAATTTGATTGGTCCACAGCCGAGACGGCTTTTCTTAGAGCACCTTTAGTCTCCATTGGTGTTGGACCAGAAGACGCCAAAAGGCGTACAACTCAAAAACAGCGCCACTATCAGAGTTACTGAGGGCTCGGGGTGAGCGTTTACATTATGAGACCTGTGCTATACGGTATTGGGACTCGCCCCCCTGCCCCACCGTGTGTGGTGAGCAGGTGAGGTTGGTGGTGGTGGACAGCGTCGCTTTCCCCTTCCGTCACGGCTTCGACGACCTGCGCCTCCGCACTCGGCTCCTCAACGGCCTGCCCAGCAGCTGCTAGCCTGGCCTGTACTCACCATCTCGCTGTGAGATACACGCTACACTACGCTACTCATTATAATACTCGCTATACACTACACTACACTACACAGCAGGCTGGCCCAGCAGCTGATAGCCCTGGCCTGTACTCACCATCTCGCTGTGAGATACACGCTACACTACGCTATCATATACTACTCGCTATACACTACACTACACACTTATTATATACACAGCAGGCTGGCCCAGCAGCTGATAGCCCTGGCCTGTACTCACCATCTCGCTGTGAGATACACGCTACACTACGCTACTCGCTATACTACTCGCTACATACACGCTACACTACACGCTACACTACAATACACAGCAGGCTGGCCCAGCAGCTGATAGCCCTGGCCTGTACTCACCATCTCGCTGTGAGATACACGCTACACTACGCTACTCATTATACACTACACGCTACACTACACGCTACTCATTATACACTACACTACTTATTATACTACACAGCAGGCTGGCCCAGCAGCTGATAGCCCTGGCCTGTACTCACCATCTCGCTGTGAGATACACGCTACACTACGCTACCGCTATACTACTCGCTACACATACACTACACGCTACACTACGCTACTCATTATACACTACACTACTTATTATACTACACAGCAGGCTGGTTCAGCAGCTGATAGCCCTGGCCTGTACTCACCATCTCGCTGTGAGATACACGCTACACTACGCTACTCATTATACACTACTCGCTATACACTACACTACACACTACGCTACACTACACAGCAGGCTGGCCAGCAGCTGATAGCCCTGGCCTGTACTCACCATCTCGCTGTGAGATACACGCTACACTACGCACTCGCTACACTACTCGCTACTCATTATACACTACACTACTCGCTATACACTACACTACACACTACACTACGCTACACTACACAGCAGGCTGGCCCAGCAGCTGATAGCCCTGGCCTGTACTCACCATCTCGCTGTGAGATACACGGTACACTACGCTACTCGCTACACTACTCGCTACACTACACGCTACTCATTATACACTACACTACTTATTATACTACACAGCAGGCTGGCCCAGCAGCTGATAGCCCTGGCCTGTACTCACCATCTCGCTGTGAGATACACGCTACACTACGCTACTCGCTACACTACACGCTACACTACACGCTACTCATTATACACTACACTACTTATTATACTACACAGCAGGCTGGCCCAGCAGCTGATAGCCCTGGCCTGTACTCACCATCTCGCTGTGAGATACACGCTACACTACGCTACTCATATACTACTCGCTATACACTACACTACACGCTACACACGCTACTCATTATACACTACGCTACTCATACACTACACGCTACACTACGCTACTCATTATAACTACACTACTCACTATACACTACACTACACGCTACACTACGCTAGTCGCTATACACTACACTACTCGCTATACACTACACTACTCATTATACACTACGCTACTCATATACACTACACGCTACACTACGCTACTCATTATACACACACTACTCACTATACACTACACTACACGCTACACTACGCTACTCATTATACACTACACGCTACACTACGCTACTCGCTATACACTACACTACTCGCTATACACTACACTACTATTATACACTACACTACTCGCTATACACTACACTACACGCTACACTACGCTACTCATTATACACTGCACGCTACACTACGTACTCGCTATACACTACACTACTCGCTATACACTACACTACTCATTATACACTACACTACTCATACACTACACGCTACACTACACTACACAGCAGGCTGCCCAGAAGCTGATAGCCCTGGCATGTACTCACCATCTCGCTGTGAGATACACGCTACTACGCTACTCAATATACACTACACTACTCATTATACACTACACTACTCACTACACTATCATTATACACTACACTACTCATTATACACTACACTACTCATTATACACTACACTACTCATTAAACAATACACTACTCACTATACACTACACTACTCACTATACACTACACTACTCATTATACACTACACTACTCATATACACTACACTACTCATTTTACACTACACTACTCATTAAACAATACACTACTCACTATACACTACACTACTCATTATACACTACACTACTCACTATACACTACACTACTCATATACACTACACTACTCACTATACACTACACTACTCATTATACACTACACTACTCACTATACACTACACTACTCATTATACACTACACTACTCATTATACACTACACTACTCACTATACACTACACTACTCATTATACACTACTCATTATACACTACACTACTCACTATACACTACGCTACTCATTATACACTACGCTACTCATTATACACTACTCACTATACACTACACTACTCACTATACACTACACTACTCATTATACACTACACTACTCACTATACACTACACTACTCTTATACACTACACTACTCACTATACACTACACTACTCATTATACACTACTACTCATTATACACTACACTACTCATTATACACTACACTACTCACTATACACTACACTACTCATTATACACTACACTACTCATATACACTACACTACTCATTATACACTACACTACTCACTATACACTACATTACTCACTATACACTACACTACTCACTATACACTACACTACTCACTATAAACTACACTACTCATTATACACTACACTACTCACTATAAACTAAACTACTCATATACACTACACTACTCACTATACACTACACTACTCATTATACACTACACTACACTACTCACATACACTACACTACTCACTATACACTACACTACTCATTATACACTACACTACTCATACACTACACTACTCAATATACACTACACTACTCACTATACACTACACTACTCACTATACACTACACTACTCATTATACACTACACTACTCACTATACACTACACTACTCACTATAAACTACACTATTCATTATACACTACACTACTCACTATACACTACACTACTCATTATACACTACACTATTCATTATACACTACACGCTACACTACACTACTCACTATACACTACACTACTCACTATACACTACACTACTCATTATACACTACACTACACTACTCACTATACACTACACTACTCACTATACACTACACTACTCATTATACCTACACTACTCATTATACACTACACTACTCAATATACACTACACTACTCACTATACACTACACTACTCACTATACACTACACTACTCATTATACACTACACTACTCACTATACACTACACTACTCACTATACACTACACTACTCATTATACACTACACTACTCATTATACACTACACTACTCACTATACACTACACTACTCACTATACACTACACTACTCATTATACACTACACTACTCATTATACACTACACTACTCAATATACACTACACTACTCATTATACACTACACTACTCACTATACACTACACTACTCATTATACACTACACTACTCAATATACACTACACTACTCACTATACACTACTCACTATACACTACACTACTCATAACACTACACTACTCACTATACACTACATACTCATTATACACTACACTACTCACTATACACTACACTACTCACTATACACTACACTACTCACTATACACTACACTACTCACTATACACTACACTACTCATTATACACTACACTACTCACTATACACTACACTACTCATTATACACTACACTACTCACTATACACTACACTACTCACTATACACACACTACTCATTATACACTACACTACTCATTATACACTACACTACTCACTATACACTACACTACTCACTATACACTACACTACTCATTATACACTACACTACTCACTATACACTACACTACTCATTATACACTACACTACTCATTATACACTACACTACTCACTATAAACTACACTACTCACTATACACTACACTACTCACTATACACTACACTACTCACTATACACTACACTACTCACTATACACTACACTACTCATTATACACTACACTACTCATACACTACACTACTCATTATACACTACACTACTCACTATACACTACACTACTCACTATACACTACACTACTCATTATACACTACACTACTCACTATAAACTAAACTACTCATTATACACTACACTACTCACTATACACTACACTACTCATTATACACTACACTACACTACTCACTATACACTACACTACTCACTATACACTACACTACTCATTATACAACTACACTACTCATTATACACTAAACTACTCAATATACACTACACTATCACTATACACTACACTACTCACTATACACTACACTACTCATTATACACTACACTACTCACTATACACTACACTACTCACTATAAACTACACTATTCATTATACACTACACTACTCACTATACACTACACTACTCATTATACACTACACTACTCATTATACACTACACGCTACACTACACTACTCACTATACACTACACTACTCACTATACACTACACTACTCATTATACACTACACTACACTACCACTACACTACACTACTCACTATACACTACACTACTCATTATACACTACACTACTCATTATACACTACACTACTCACTATACACTACACTACTCACTATACACTACACTACTCACTATACACTACACTACTCATTATACACTACACTACTCACTAACACTACACTACTCACTATAAACTACACTACTCATTATACACTACACTACTCACTATACACTACACTACTCATTATACACTACACTACTCATTATACACTCACTACTCACTATACACTACACTACTCACATATACACTACACTACTCATTATACACTACACTACTCATTATACACACACTCAATATACACTACACTACTCATTATACACTACACTACTCACTATACACTACACTACTCATTTACACTACACTACTCAATATACACTACACTACTCACTATACACTACTCACTATACACTACACTACTCATTATACACTACACTACTCACTATACACTACACTACTCATTATACACTACACTACTCACTATACACTACACACTCATACACTACACTAC